GATCCATTGGAAAATCAACCCGTGCAGGTGTGGCAGCTTTCCTAGAACAATGAACTGGAAAGGCAGATTTGGGTCACACCGATGTGCCTGCCTTTCTGACAAGGACTTCTGTACCTTTTCGATTGCTGTCTTTGCCTCTGGAGTCAGTTCCCTGGGGGAGGCCAGCTCCCTCTCCCCCTTCAATAAATTGAAAAGAGGTTCCAGATCTTCATTTGTGAGGCCTAGCCAGGGCCTTACCCAATTATAAGACCCACACAGCGAGTGGAGGTCTGCTAATGTTCTGGGGTTGCAATTTATCTCCAATTTCTGTGGGACAATAGTCCTTGCAGAAATTTCCAGGCCCAGGTATCTCCAAGGTGGCATTCTTTGAACCTTGTTTTCCTGCAATTGGAATCCAGCAGAGGTTAAAACTTTAACCACTAGGTCAAGCGTGTATTGGAGTATAGAGTCATTGGGAGCACACACAAGCACGTCATCCATATAGTGAAGGATGATGGCATCCTTTCTCTCTGCACGTACTGGAGACAGTAGTGCTGCTACATACTGTTGGCATATGAAAGGGCTGGATTTTAAACCTTGGGGCAAAACTTTCCAGTGGTAGCGTTTCATCGGGGCTTCTCTATTGACCGTGGGAACTGAGAATGCAAACCTCGGGGCATCTTCAGGGTGCAATGGAATTTGGAAGAAACAGTCCTTTATATCTAACACAGCCAATTTCCAGTCCTGGGGAAGCATAGCTGGACTCGGCATCCCCGGTTGGAGAGGTCCCATGTCCCCCACAATTTTGTTTATCTCTCTGAGATCGTGGAGCAATCTCCATTTGTCCTTCCCAGGCTTCTTTATTACAAAGACTGGGAAATTCCAAGGGCTGTCTGTCTCTTGCAGGTGTCCTTGAGCTACCTGCTCCTCCACAAGTTTTTCAAGCGCCTCGAGTTTTTCTCTACTCAAAGGCCACTGTGCTACCCACTTTGGGGTGTTATCCAACCACTTTAACTTGTGGGCATGGCGCTCCACAGTGGCGACTCCCGAAAATCCTGGGGTGTCTTAGGAATGATTAATTGGACTCCCCACTGGGACATGGTGTCTCTCCCCCACAGAGGGGCCTTATAGTCTGCCACAAATGGGCGAACACTTGCCGATTTCCCGTCAGGTCCCTCAATTTGCACTACATTTTTAGAAATTTTTGCCAATGTAGTTCCTCCTATACCCTGAAGTTTGCCTGCCACAGGTTGCAATTCCCAGTGTGATGGCCACATAGTTTTGGGTATCACCGTGATGTCTGCACCTGTGTCCAGAACACCTTCCACCTGAAGGTGCTCTGATCCATGTGCTAGGTTGCATGCCATGGAGGGTTTATCCTCTCCTACTACTTCTGCCCAGTAGACTTCTGGAGATTTTCCTTCTACTGTGATTTCTACTGGGATGGGAATGGCTTGTGCCAGAATTTTCCCCTTTTCTAGATAGAATGGAGGGTGCAAGCAACGTGCCAACAGCATAAGGCTGGATATTTTTCCCTTAGTAGTCATGGGAACTATTTCAATCTCAGGAGGTGTGTATGCTGTGTCCCCAATAACAAAATACTCACTGTCCAGTTCCATATCGTACGCCTGCAGGTCTTGTGAGCTGTTTGGCAGGTCCACTATAATGACTTTCCAATCAGTGTTTCTGAAATGAAATCCTTTGGCAGTCACTAGACGTGGCCGGCCTAGTGGCTGCCAAACCTTGTTAGTAATACATTTCACATTTTTATTTTTCTCTCCCCCCCCACCATGGTTCCCACCCTCCCCCTTATTTGTTAAGAGAGAGGCATTGTCACATTTTGGTCCCGCTACATTTATATCTTTGCGCGTAGCGGTGGGCACGCGCTGTGCATTTAGTTTTTTTGTTTGTTGATCTGTCTCTGGTTCTGGTTTTGAGGACAGTTTCTGACAAAGTGTCCTGGTTTCTTACAACGCAGGCAGATGATGTGCTGCAGCTGTTGTGATGATCTGGGTTGCTTCCTTGGGGTTGATGCAGCAGTGGCAACAGGCTGTAAATCTGCTGGTGCTCTATGACTGACAGGATTATCAAGCAGCTCTGCTCTCTTGGCGCATGCTTCGATCATCTGGGCAAGAGTGGGTGCTGGATTAAGAGGAAGGCTGAGAAGAATCCTACGACAGGTCTCATTTGCATTCCTCTGAGCCATTTCTTTAATCAACTCTGTTTGCACACTGGTGTGTTGCACCTGTTTTTCAACTTGGCTTCTCAAACGATCCACAAACTGTAAAAAACTCTCAGAAGGAAACTGTTTGATGTTAATATAGCTGCATTCAACCTCAGTGCCTGGTAATTGATACAGAGTCTTTTCTGCAGCAATACAGATTTTTTCCAAGACCGATCTAGATAACAGTCTGGTTTGTTTTTCTGGACATTGTATGTCCCCTGTACCACATAAATGATGCATTGTAAGAGGCTGGCCATCACTGTCAATGGCTTCACTGGGTGTATGTTGTATTTCTTGCAAAACTGTTTCCAAAGCCAATTTCCACTTATTTTCCCATATGTCATATTCAGAGGATGTTAGTAAACATTTAAACAAATCAGTTATATCTTTCGGTACCATTTCATTTGAATTGAAGGTTGCTTTAATCATACCTTTAAAAATCTCAGTACACCTCCCAAATTCCCTCTGAACTTTACAGATTTCTGTTTTGACCCTGTATGGGAGAGGTTGGTATGTTCTTGTACCATTTCTTCTCCCTAAATAAACCACTGGAGCTACAGATGGTATAGATTCCTCGGTAGAGGCAGGCTTGTGTCCCCCTTGCGCCCCCCCCACCCCGGTGAGAAGCAGCTCGCACTCGTCCCGGGCTGCCTGCTCTACAGTGGAGACTCGGTCCCCGCCCCGGCTCTGAGCCGCTGGGCTGCCGTCCCCTGCCCCCGCCCTGCTGTCCTCAGCACTGGGGCTGGGAGCTGTGCAGGGGCCGGCCCCGCCCCTGTTCCCGGGGCAACCCGGGGGCTGGCACTGATAAGGAGGGTGGGGTGTTGCTGTGGGAGATAAGGAAGCATCGGAGGAGGGGAGGGAGGAGGGGGTGGGGGCGGAGGGCGGGGGAAGCAAAGGAATGCGAGTGGGAGGGGGAGTGGGGGGTGGGGGAGCCGCCGGTCCGAGCACATGGCCGCCGCCATTATCCGGCCACGTGTGCTCCAGAGACGCTGCGCTGCTCTTTAAGACAAACTCCGGGCTACATTTCTCGGAAAAACAAGGTGTTATAGGGGGATAAGGGGTGGGTGAGGGGTTTTCAGGGCTGGGATATTGAGGAGGTGGGCAGGTTGGGGAAAAGGGAGTATTAGAACTGTGGATCTGCGTTTGTATGCTTTTTTCTGCTTCTAAAATCTTTTTGCGTGCTTGTAAAAATATCGGAATAAATTGAGAAACTTTATGTTCACCATTTCCGACTTTTAAAGTTAATATCTGTCCAATCTGATTCCAAAAAGAAAGCGAATTCAGGTCTCGCACAGTAAAATTTGGTATTTCTGCCTTTAGCCAGCACACAAAACGCAGGAGAAGCTTGTTAGAGAATGATACATCGTTTAAATTATTGCTAAGATGTGTTAGCATACTCTTTTGTTCAAGCGACAGGTTAGTACCCATGATCTTAATCCTATCACTGGTCTACTCTCCACCAGAGGTAATAGCACGAATTATTCGAATTTCCCTCCGTGGAAATACGAGCAGGGGGGGCACAGGGGGAGGGGCGCTCGTCCCGCCGCTTGCCAGACCGGTCCCCACCCTCTCTTCCCGTGTCTTTTTCCCCTGGAACGTGGGTATGCGCAGCCCACCAGTTCCACGCTGACTTGCAGAGAGCCCCTGGCACCCCCTCTCGCAAGCAGCCTCCCGCAGTCACTATGGTCAGTCCTCCCAGCCAGGCGCGGTCCCGGGTGCCGCGAACGGAGAACTCACCAAGCCTGTGCGCTGCAGGGTTCGTCTGTGAAACCTTCTGGGGGTTCCCTCTCCAGTTGGCTCTTCCTGGGGTACTCAGGCAGAGGTCCCCGACTGTCCCCCGTGACTCAAAGCTTTTAAAGGCAGCTAGAGTACCAGGGCAGTTGACTGTCCCAAAAGCTTTCGACTCCCACCGAAATAGGGGGTCCAGCTTCTTCGTGGGCTCAGAGCAGCACACGTTGGGCGCCAACTGTTATTTCTATTGGTTTTCCCCCCCTCCACGCAGCCCCCCAAATGAATCCGACTAGCTCAGAGATATGGGGCTGTGAGGGGAGGAAATAGCAGGGAGAGGGAAAGGTATTCAGAAGAGGCTCTTACCCCAGGGTGTTGGAACAGCTCTCTTTATTCTGTGGTGTCCATGGAGAGCGGGGCAAAAGAGAAAGAGCAGGAAGTTTCAGGGGTCTATATAGGTTTTGGACAGGGTGGGCTTTCCTGGCTCCCCGCCAACCCCGTTGGGGCAGGAAGGAGGATTCAGGGGTTATCATGATCAGAGCCACAGAGGCCCTAGGAAAGGGGGGACAAAAGGGTGTCCAGGAGCTCACCGTAACAGGAGCCTTCTCCAACTGTCCGGTAGTTTCTGGTTTCTCTGCCCAGAGTGCCAAGATCTGATCAGGCGGTGTTTATCCATGCTGCACTTGGACGGGCCCTCCTTAGAAGAGCTGTTCTGTGATCCCTGGATGCAGGATATTCATCTGCCCTAGAAGAAGGGAGAGAGCCACACGCACACGTGGATGCAGGGCCCTGGTAAGTTACAGCTCCACACATGCCTTGGCAATGAGAAGCAAAGGAACCCAGACATTTGGTCCTGCCTGTGTCACTGCCCAGGGGTCATCAGATGGGAACAGGCAGCCCTTGTGCTGCAGCTGAGCTGCTCTGCCTAGCACTGGTGGCCGCCATCCCAGCTGGTTGTGCTTGTCCTGGTTCCCTGACAGCTGGGGCCCTGGGCAGAGCCCTGACAGCCTGGGCTGGCCCCAGGGAAGGAGAAGGAACCCCTGGAGAAGCTGCACCAGGTGGGGCTGCTGCTGCTGGGGACAGCAAGGATGACATCAAGGATGAACAACCTCTTGCTCCACCTGGTCTCCAGCAGGGTGAAGATGATGGGCTTTGATTCTGGCACTTTCTCCAAAGCCAGGCTCCAAAGGGAATTTGCAGATGGGTCCACACACAGGGGGATGCTCCCAGATTTGGGCATTGCACAGCCTGGCTGGGAACCAAAGGTTCCCCCTTTGCTGGGGCGGATGCAGCTGATCCTTCAGTCGGCTGCCAGGCTGCTTTTGGCAGGGCTGGGGGCATGGGCTGGGGTGGGTACGAAATGGGAGTGGGCTCCTGGCCCTGCCAACAGCCCCCAGCACCCACCGTGCCCCGGGCTGGGGCTGGGCTGGGGCAGCCAGCCCGACACAAACAAACCCCCATGGTGGGAGCAGAGGTGGGACTGCAGAGCCTGTGCAGGGGCTGCTTTGCTCTGCAGGCAAGGAAGGGCTTGGGCTGCTCCACTGCCTTTGTTTGCTTTGGGATCACCATGGGGGCAGTGCAGGGGAAGGGAGAAAGCCTGGGATTCCCTCACCCATGGTGGGTTTTTCCCTGGCATGCAGGGGTTGGGCCTTCCTTAAGCCCCTGACAGAGATCAGAGTTTTAAAATTTTTTCTTATTTCCCCTTTTTGTCTGTAATCTATTTTCAATAATTTGTTGTTTGTTTTTCTAGAGGAAGCGTTCCAGGTGGGATCCAGTCTGGATCAGGAAGTGCTTGGGAGCAGCTGCAGCGTGGATGGGCCGTGCCCTTGGAGAAGGCTGAGGACATCGTTTGGGACCAGCTTTTCTTCCAGCGGTGGATGGCATGAGGTGGGTCCTGTCTGCTGGGGATGGTGGGGTCAAAGCTTTGGGGAGATGGCAGCGAGCACAGGAGCATCCTGCTCTGGGCAGCTGCTGAGGGCTGGAGGTGCCGTGGCTGGCTGCAGGCTGGGCACATTTCCTGCCCTCCTGCTCTGCTCCCAAAGGCAGCAGTGATGGGCAGCTCTGGGCATGGCCAGCATGGCCTGGGCACCGCGGGCGGCTGGGACAAGGGGACAGGAGCCTTCAGCGGACGGGCACTTTCTGGTTTCTCTCCTTGCAGCCAGGCTCTGTGGGTGCTGAGGCTGCTCTGGGCTCTGCCAGGGCTCTGCTGGCCTCTGCCCTGGGCACAGCTGGGCTGGCTCTGCCCTCACATTGCTCTGACAGCTTTGCATCAGACAAGCCTATTCCGAGCACAGTGCCTGAGCTTTCTGCTTTGGCAGGTGAGTGAGGCTCTCCTGCAGGCCAGGAGATTGCAGCTGGGAACACACATCCAATTGGCAAGGACCAAAACTCTCCACAGCCCCAGCTGAAAGCCTGGATCTCCCCAAGATGTTTTGTCTTTTCCACTCTTCATTCCTTTTTGGCTGGAATTGTGCAATTGCACTTTCTTCCTCCTCTAGAAGTGCCACAAATAGGCTGAACCTGCCAAGTGGGCCGTGTTCCCGAGGCAGTGCAGTCTGGAACTGATGGATGGAGAAGTGCCCTTCTGCACTTCCAAACCAGGCCAAAAAGCTGTAAGAGGGATTTTCTGTCTTTAAGAAACCCTTGACAGTTTCAATGGGAATGTGCAGCTCATTCACAGGGTGAGAAGGAAGGGTATCTTCTGAAGGGTTTGGGATTTAGCAGAGTTTAGATTCCCAGTCCTGCTTGGAGCTGGAAGGGCACAAAGCAATTTCCTCCTGCTTCAACCACAATTTAAAATATCAATGTTGGAAACAAA